TTACTGTATATCATTCCACAGGAATGTGCACAAAGATTTCCATTAGCATTGTTCGGCAATGATCAACATAACAAGACCGATAGATTTGTGTTCACAGCATCGCATGATCAAGTGAAATGTGTAGCTGTTTTAACTGGTGACAGCATTACAAACGCAGTGAGTATCAATTTTATTCATTTAAATAATAAAACACCATAAACTGCCAAACGCCCTTCAAAGATTGAGACAAGAGAGGGAGGGATGGCTATATATAATTCTTTGTTACATATTATATAGGAAACCAGTCCTCCTGCCATCTCAAAAAAAATGAAGTTGTTTGATCAAATATTAAAAAAGTTATTTTATTTTATAATACATGAGAGTCAATGTACATATTTTAATAATACGAATAATTGAGGAAAGTGTATTTTTATAGGAAGTCAATTTTAAAGTACAACGTCAGCAAAATGTTAACATGAGGACGAGTATACAAAGTGAGCATCCTTGGAAATTACAACAGATACAAGATGCTGCCAATCATTTACAGCAAGCTATTGCTCACATAGATAATGTCGATCGTCATTATCCTTTCAAAACATCCGATGAAGTTATGCACATATTAGGAAACATACTTGGTTGCCTTCAACGTAGTCGAACAAGTTTAATTGTTCCCAGAAAGAGAACAATCGATGATCTCATCAAAAGTCGTAATATGGTAGGGCAAACGAAACTTCAATATTAAAAGTATATATGAATTTTCTTTATCTTAGATTTATTTATTTTTTAATTGCAGAAATCATTGAATCCTAATCTTCCAGAAAATTTGGCTATTAGCTTTTATATTCAAAGCTATAAACTAGTGTTGGCAATATACCAGTTAGAAAATGCGCACGGAAGCGTTAAGTACGAAACGCAACAAGCAGAATGTAGTGTACCATGGTTAAACGATGCTCTAGTGTTGCTAACTGTAGCACTACAGCTTTGTCAGCGGTTAAAAGACAAGGTTGGTACATAGAAAAAGCTCTGTCCGTTCTTTTTTTTTTATCTAAAACATTTTTCCAGATCTGTGTTTTCTCTCAATACAAAGATTTCACGGTCGGTCCTCAAGTTTCTATTGCAGTGGGCTGGTAATAAAGTTATGTTTTAATAACCGAATAATCTTTAGCTAGAAGATTCTGTACATGTATACATATTACGAAACTGGCCACAGTCAATGCTCTGGTAGCATTTCTAGTGGATTTTATTTTTAAAAACGTAATTCAGTTTTGGAAGCATCACTAAGCTATAGGACGTACAGAAACAATGTTTTCAAAGTGACATACAGTGACTTAATATTCGGATACCTTTTTAATCAGATCACGCAACTTAATTTTCATTTGGATATTACAAGGCTTCATTTATTAGAGAATATGACAGTATAACAGACACTTAATTATACAAAATGTATGCTTTAAATTTCTATTCGAGATCCGAGTAAAAAGTGAAGAGGTGTGACGTTTAGTTTACTCTTTGCTATTAACAGCAATTAATAACGTCGACGTTACACATTATTTATAAAACTAAGACTTCTAACATCTCAACGAACATTAAGTTATTCGAGCCAATATTAATAATGTTTTTCAGGTTTAAACGCTGTTGTAATATTAATGTGAGTCACTGTACGTATATTTTACATGATACAGAGTGTCAAATATAGAAGTTTAATTCTACATGGAAAAGAATTTACATGAGTGAAATTCTTGTATATCAGTACAAGATCTGAGACTTTGTGTATTGTGTAACATTATTCATGGTCTTAAGAGTATTTTCACGCACCTGTATCCGGTTAAATTAACGTCGAGCTTTGTTTGATAATAATTTTCACAGTTGTATAAAGAGCTTTTATCTAAAAGTAGTGAATAAGTACACACTATCGATTTGATTGATGGAATAGTTAGCCAGTATATATA